CTTTTATGCTTTAGGATAAAGGTTCCTTTTATTTAGTTTTTGAATATATGGACCATGATTTGATGGGTCTGTTAGAATCTGGCATGGTAGATTTCAACGAAATGAATAATGCTAGTATCATGAAGCAGTTATTGGATGGCTTGAATTATTGTCACAGCAAAAATTTTCTTCACCGGGATATCAAATGCTCAAATATATTGATGAATAACAAGTACATATACGTTATTTATTGAGTAATTTGTTTTGTGCAATTACTCGGTATAATGTAATGTATAATTTTAATAGGGGCGAAGTCAAATTAGCAGACTTTGGATTGGCGCGACTTTATAATGCAGAGGATAGACAGAGACCATACACTAATAAGGTGATCACTCTGTGGTATAGACCCCCCGAACTTTTACTAGGAGAAGAGCGTTATGGACCCGCAATTGATGTCTGGAGTTGCGGATGTATCTTGGGAGAATTATTTTCTAAAAAACCTTTATTTCAGGTAATAATCATTTATCAAGTTAAAAAACATTTTATTAATATTAATTTATTATTAACAAGAGTAATTTTTTATTAACAAGAATAATTTTTTATTAGGCCAATGTAGATATGATGCAATTAGAGATGATTTCAAGGGTTTGTGGGACGCCCACTCCTGCTGTGTGGCCTTCTGTGATAAAATTACCACATTGGCATACACTTAAGCCAAAAAAGCAGCATAGGAGACGTCTCAGAGAGGATTTCGCCTTTATGCCAGGAGCAGCCTTGGATCTCCTGGATAAAATGTTAGAATTGGATCCTGAGAAGCGGATAACGGCAGCTGATGCGCTTAAAAGTGCTTGGTTGAAAAACGTTCAGCCCGAACAGTATGTTATCTTTTTGCGTCGGCTTTTCGTGTGTATTGGAATATGTATGTTTCTTTGTTCAAATTTTATAAAATGTATTACACTTTCACAATATATCAGGATGCCAGCGCCACAACTTCCAACTTGGCAAGATTGTCATGAACTCTGGAGTAAAAAGCGAAAGCGTTTGTTACGGGAACAGCAAGAGGGTACTACAACAAAGTTGCCTCTGCTTCCCTTTCCGAATAAAGGAGGTCCCAACAAGGATGATCTGTCAGATGTCGGGGGGTGAGTAAAGCCGTAAAGAAATCTAATTTACGGGTTGCTAAGATGTACGTCTTAATGCCAATCGAAAACTAATTTGCTTAGACATTTAGATGGCTGTGTACGACAGTTGTGTTTGGCATTTATTTTCTTTAGCAAAATGTATTGTTCAAATAACGAGAATTTCTTGAAAGTGAGAAGTGACATCGAAAAGAAAATGTAGTAGTATTTCTATGTGTTTCTTCTGATTCTCGTTTGCATGTCGACCTTTCTTCCTCTAAACTTAATGAATCAACGAGTTAATTTTAGTTTCGTTCACAGTCGTTCGAACACGACGATGCCAATAATGCAGAACAATGGAAAATAGAAGCACGAAACATCCTTCTCTGTTCGTGGCTTCGCTCTACAGAGATTGTTTACTTTTAAATGATTGATTTGATAGACTGTATGAGATATACTTAACATATGTATTTTTCAGGGCATACGCTACATGCCTCGGCGATAATATATTTTACCGTTACGAGATATATTATATTATTTAACTCTTTGGCTGCATCATGTAAAACTTTTTTTTAATTAGAAATAAAAAAGTACAATATAGCTCAATTTTATTATTTCCATATTGATTGATTTAATATAAAAGGGCAATGTAATAAATTTATAATGAATATAATTTCTTCTATAGTTTTTTCTCTCTTACTACAAAATTTTCAACTTTAATTATATTTATGATATATTTAAGTTATGTATTAAAGTATGTACAACATTTGCAGCTAAAGGGTTAATTATCATCCCACTATTCATATTGAATCATTTATAATGATTATAATGAAATGATTTTTATGATAACTATTATTATAATCCTCTATATGAATACCTAATAATCGTCACTTATAACGTACAAACTTCTGTACAAGAAGTATATGTCCTAATAATCACTGTGATTCAGTCTACCACTCGTTTCTAAGGACGATTGTAAAAATTAAATTATCAGTTTATTCAGTTTCTATTTAGATATGTGTATATATCTTGTCAATAATATACGAAAGGGAAACATACATGTATACATGATATACAACAGCATGTATATCCCAAAAAAGAAATATATAATGCATGCGCTCACGTTAATATATATTGAAATGAGGAACATTTGTGTATAATTTTTGCGCATATGCGTACTGATTTAGATTCTTTTAGAGATTGATTAGAATATCTCACATATAAATATAAATATATATAAATTTATATTTATATTTGTATTTAAACATACACAAATGGAAAAATTATAATTGAAACAAATGATTGTAAATAAATATATAGAGGTCACGTCAAAGTGATTTCACCTTGCTGTTTTTCGTAAAAAGACTCTTCAGTTTAGGTACCTGTAAGTAAAGCGTAAAACGACATGTATAAATAGATGAATTCTGAGTTGTAAAGTTCTATGATATAAATATTTAGGCAAGATATACAGGTACAAAGGATATGCTACATCAGAAGACTGAAGAAGGCGAATACGAGAAGACCAAGACTAAAATCGTTGTTAATCTTAATTCTGTTTTATTTATAATTAATCTGATTTATTCAAACATTCACATTTTTGGCGTACATTTATGCTTTAATCATCCTCTAGCCATCCTCCGTATTACAATTTAGTGATTCGTACTATAGGTAGTTTTGATGAGTTTCTCGTAATATACGATTGGCGAATCATTGTGTATTTATTTAGTATTTACATTATTTGTTTTTTTTTTGCATGTGCGTTATGTTAACTGACACTATTTTTATGATGGAATTCAGTCTTCGGATGTTTTCGAACATAATGTCATGCAAAATAATATTGTAAAATAATATTCGAATGCTGCAATATACTTAAGCGTACTCAGACATTCGCTTAAAATATTTTTATGAGCAGTAAATGAATCTTTAACGCTATCAAAACATTATTATTAAAATTTTTTAGGTTCTAGTATTTTTTTATTTTATGGTTACATATATGTATATATACACATTATATGTATTAGTATCTCTTCAAAAAGATCCAACAAGCAGCATTCGACAATTATCATGGAAAATATTTATTTACCAGCGTTCACTGATTCAATATATGTAAAATAATCATAAAATATATGTTACTGTTTTTACTTATTCCACAAATATTTTGACACGTATAACTTTTTTTTCGTTATTTATTTTTAGAAATAAAGGCAGGTAAATCGAATGTTTAATTTCTTTAATATATAATTGTTTGAATCATGTTTTTGATAGTAAATCAAGCACAATATCAATAGTATAAATATGAGAATGGTATAGAATGAATATTAAAATGTTTATTATATTAAATAGTAGTAATTAATATTAAAACTTTCAATAGATTTTTTTTTAAATAATTTTTTTTAACGTAATTTATATGTATTTCTGATATATTATTAAATATATATATATACATATATTGCACATTTTCATCGCTATTACCCAATCTGTGACAATGCATCCGTCTTCTTTTTTTAGGTCAAGAAAAGGTTAATTCCTTTGACTAGGGATAAGTACGATTTTTGGGAAAATGGAACGAATTGGAAGGGCGCCGAAATAAATGTTAATCACTGTCCTATTGTTTTTACAAAAGCTAATTGCTTAAATTTATTTGTATACATTTATATATACATATATCTATATGTGTGTGTGTGTGTGTGTGTGTGTGTGTGTGCGTGCGCGCGCGCGCGCGCGCGTGGGGGTGTGCATGTATGTATGTATATATACATATAAATATATATATATAATATGTATATATTTACCTGACAATATTAAAATTAATTGAACAACACAAATCCTTCCTTGTGTTAAAAAAAAAATAGAAAAGCATATATGTATTTGTCTTTTGAGTTGAAAAATAATAAAATCGTGATTTTTACATAATTTGCACCGTCTTTAATGGACCAGCAGATTACAGTATAATGAGACAATTTTCATGTTTTATATTCAAAAATATATCATGTATTTCAAGAAGTAAAAAAAAAAGAAACATTTGATCTTTTTATATTATAATATATTCTATGCAAAAATATACAATGTAAAAAATACAGATGAAGATCTATTAATATAAATAAAATAATGTTCGTATATATAACATATACATTTATAAATAATGATGTAAAATGCTTTGAAAAATATAATGTTTCAAAACATGTCACATATTTTTACATATAACTTTTATTCAAGAATTTACAATAAGTGTAAAATTTAATATATTTTATTTGTGTATATCTCTGTTTGATTTATTTGTATCGGTAATACGTAGTAAAAGATTATGTTTATGATATGAAAATAATTATATTATTCAAATTATAATATTCGATATTAATAGATTCTCTTTCTCTCTTTTAAATAATATAATCTTCCAAAAATTTGTTTATACGAACATATTCAAGTAAAAAAATATTTATATAAACATTTATATTTTCATTCATAATGTTATAATAAATATTGTTCCATTATTAATACGTAAAATGCAGTTATCACTCGTGAATATTGCCTTAAAATGTTGTAAAATTCTGTAAGAATGTAAAATGTAATTAGAATAATTTATAAATGGATTTATATATAATATATAAACTTATATAATTTAAATATATATACACACACACACACATATATATATATATATATATATATGTATAGTAATGTCTCATATAGACATGACGTTAATATAACTGTATCATGTGCCTATACCACTTTGTATTGCGGAATATGTAAAAAATGACATATATGACTTTAGATAAATTATAAACAAAATAATTGGCACAATATCTAATAGGAAAAAATTATGTTTCAGGAGATAATATAATTGTGGCTGAATTATAAATGGACAATTTTTGTAACACTTGTAAGAATATATAATAGGTAATGAAAGCTTCAAATCTTAATACGTGTTTACATCCAGTGTGTCCAATTTTTTACTCACATTTATCAAGTATGTGAATCATATAACCCATTTGCTTGAGCTAACCAAATGATAATTGAAGTGTATAGCGGCAACAACCGCTGTACAATATTATTTTATATAGGATATTATATGTATGTACACCGATGCATTAACTCGTAATGAAGAGGAAATACCTTGCTATTCTTCATTGTTCTACAAGATTGTTACATAAATAAACAATAAATACAATTTTACGCTTATATCTTTATATATTAATACGTATATATGTGCATGTATGTAATTTTAGTGCATATGTAATTGAGCTTGCTTTGAGACACATTTGTATGGCTTGCTTTTTTGTATAGTTGCATGATCTTCCATTATTCTTTTATTATTCTTTAGACTAATATAACAATATGTTATTAATGACAAGTTAAATATGTTTATAATTTTTTTGTTAACAATTTGTATATAAATATCGAAATGATTGGAAATTAAGAAAATATCATTAATCACTCAATTACAAATGAATTTCATATAAATTGCAAATGAATCAATTTCATTCATTATGTATATTCATTTCTATTTTATTTAAGTCGTTATTTATCAAATTTTCACGCATGGCCTGTAATTTTATTACAGGTCCTCTAAACGACTAAAGATGGAAGCAGGCTATAATTCATATCCGAGCAGGCTTGGCGCAGAAGCTCATTATGGTGAAGATAATTTGTTTAATCAAAGCGGGCCGTACATAGTGTCTACGCCATCGTACTATTTTAATACTTCACCCATTAAATCGCAGTCGAATCTGAAGGGAGATCAATCATTGGAGTGTACAGAAGATAATCTATCCCGGAGACTGATAGTTCTCTCGAACGCTTTAAATCAGGGAAAACCGATTCGAGTCGACGATCTTCTCGCGTTGCGGTCAGACCAGAATGAGGTAATTATGTAAAGAGATTTTTTTTTAGACAATTTTCTGTAATTACCTCGTATCAATTGTGATAATTCGTTTACAATAACTAATATCTCTAATTTTTATATTTATTAAAGATTAAGGAATATATTTTTTAAGAATATAAATTTTTTTCTTAATATCTATAATATTTACAGTGCGATTCCAAAGTGGTACAGTTGTTGGGGGATCTACGCGCGGAGCTTCGTCTTATTGCAAACGCTCGACCAGGTGGACAGCTGGATCCTCATCTTCCCATATTGATCCCACCTCTTCTAGGTATACGCATACTTAATACTCCCAGCATTATATCCGTTGCATTGATATTGATAAATAATTTTTCCTGTAGATACACCGCATATGCCAGGTAATTTTGATGCGCACGCGGTGTATGCCGGCGACGATGCCGTGAGCTCTCACTGGAGGTGGTCCCAGTTGGCTACTGCTGGTGTTCGGAGCGCTTTATCGGCGCTCATATCGTATCATGGTCTGGATAACGTTTATAATCCTACTACTTCTGCGTCTATCGGCCGATTGTCAAATAAACCGCCAGGACAACCCAACCCGGCGCAAAACCTTTTCCTGCCCTCGACTTCCTCGCAACAATCTACTTTTAATTCGTAATGTGATTTTACAAAATCGTACGGTTCATGATCGTGTTTCGTATATGTTGTATGTGTGTGTATGTATGAAATTAGAAAGAATCTATAAATCGCTATTTTTCAAATTACGCTGGTGACCTAGAGAGATAGAGAGAGAGAGAGAGAGAGAGAGAGAGAGAGTGAGGGAAGAGAGCGAGCGAGCGTGCGAAAAAGAAAGATGATACAATCATATCATCGATTTGTGTACAGTCTCCATTATCACTCCATTAGTTCTAAGTGCACGTTCCGTGTATAATTGTATAATATGCGACCACAGATACTTAATTAGAATACAACTTCTCTCTCAATGACAATGGTATTATCATGATACTTACCAAATTGCTAATGCTACCGATTATTTCCAAGTTATTTTTTGATCAGTCATGCGTTGAAGAATATTCTCTGACGTTTCTTTCCTGCATCATTACGAAAGGTCTGTGATACACATGTGTATATTTATATATATATATATACTATTGCGAGTGGGAAGATGAATTTAAAAAGGAACTCAACTTCGATGCTTGTTTTTATTCTGGTGAAAAGAAAAACTTTTGTTTACGATGCTCGATATGAGATCTTCAAAAAGATTTGCGTTCTATTTTAATCTCATGAAAGAATTTTCTTTTAAGAGAAATTAGGCGATACTGTGAGGGAACGTTGATAAATTTATGTAACATTATAAATGTGAATATTTATTTATCGTTTAAGATTTTTTATATAAGATACGATTATATATTGCGAACGCTTATTTATTACGAATGTATTTACAGTATACAATGTACATATATGCTAAGACTATATAATAAAGATGTCAACGGATGAATCTCAAGCTTATTAAATCAAAACATTTATTTATGTATTTTATTGTGTGCAATATATATATATATATGAATATACATATGCCTTCGTGAGTTCTTATGTGTGTTATTTTTCAATTGATCAGAGCTGTATGAATATTTTTATGGCTCTCAGATATATTTTTACTTTTCTTTCTGTAAAATTTCAAAAATCATTCGGAATTATATCTGTGGTGTCCACGACCACGACTAAGACGGTCCTGAACTCCTGAAGTTTGTATTTGTACAATCAGCAACCCAAAGGTTGTAACACTTTTTTCAATGAATTCCAAAATGCAACTCTCATCGAGTGATTATTACTTATAGATCCATAAGTAAGAACCAATCGCTCGGTGAATAGGCTATACTCCGAAACTGATTTTAAAAAATGTTGCAATCTTTTTTAGTGCTTTGCTGACTGTATATATATGACATATCTGATATATGTCATCATATATGGTACATATACATGTACATACATACGTACATACATACGTAACGGTAAACTGTTATGGCGGAGTGGGTTGGAATGTGTCGAAACGTTGATGATCGGTACATATAAATATTAAAGATTGTATAATTAATCAGTAAAGATACATTGTAAAGACATCACGTTTATGCACTTACGATTTTTTGAGAACAATTTAAGCAGGTATTCATTGAAAAAACAGGGAAGATACATCAGATAGACGTGTTGTTCTGAAAAGTTCGAAGTGTATTCCAAACAATAATGTCAGTAATTCTGCAGTTTAATTGTTTGACGCAGAACGAGACTGCGAGAAAAGCAATGGAGAGCTACGTTGAAATCTTGCAAAAAGCATTTGAACATTATCAAAGTATGTATATATTCTTACTGTCATTTATATCTAATTAATATTCTTTTTCTATTCTAATATTAAAGGAATGTTAAAATATTTGAAAAATAACACTTATAATATTTAACTACTCACATTTCACATGAACTTATGTATTTTTGAAATCATAGAATTGATCAATTTAGAGTTATAAATACTTTGGAAAACTTTCATAGAAGTACTCAAGTAAGATCGAGATTGGTCATTTAGTTGGCTTCTGATTGGTCTGCCATGTTCGGTATAGTGCTTAAGATAGAATGAGATAAACGCACGATAAGTTATAAGATATATGTATATATAAAGTACGTCGGAGAGACGTTATTAGCGCTATTTGTGTCGTTCTATTTTTATTTTACGTCTAATTAACGATGAAGATAGAATAAAAATAGACAAAATTAATAGCACTAATAGCATCTCGATCCTTGATCGCATCTATGAGATACATGGACATCTCATTCTATTATCGTATGCATTATCTATCAGCTGTCTCATTGTATCTTATTTTTATGGCGTTAAAGAGAGAGAAAGCATTAAGATGCTGAATGCAACAAGTGCAAGCAACGCGAACAAACCCAGTATCTTCGCTTTCTTTCTTTTCAGTGCCCAAATATATATTTAACTCTCTTTAAGTGCAAAATTTTTTAGGGATTTTAAGTTGTGTGAACACATCACAAATCATGAGGTCTGTTCGTGTTATTTGCACTTTTTGCACTTTTTGCACTCGGGATATTCGCTTTCTCTTTTCAAGAAATATATATCTATTTCATTTTAAGTGCAAAAATATTTGAGGATTTCATGCAACGTGAATAGATCTATGAAACACGCGAAAATATATTAAATTTGATTTATGCTGCTATCTGCAGTCAATAGCACGAAATCCTCATATACTTTTGCATTTAAAATGAGATGGATACATATTTTGCCTTGAAAAGAGAGAAAGCGAAGATATCGAGTGCCAAAAGTACAAGCAACGCGACAGATCTAATTATCTGAATCTTGTAATAAACGTTGCTAGTAAATTTTTGAGCGACTATCCAAAATTTACTAGACCAAGCATTGGAAAACGCGCCAAAATTTAAATATTATGATACTAATGATTTTTGAAAACAATTTTCTAAATTAAGCCATGCCGCTGGCTAAATATTTAAAAACTATTTATGTACTGAATTGTTTATATAAGCGATTTGTATAATTGTTGTAATATTTTGTTTTACAGATTTGTGGGAAGATTATATACAATTGCAGGAAAAGTATAAACAGTGTAATGCGTGAGTTTATAATTATTGTTTATTTATATAATTCACATTTATATAATTTAGATTTCTAAGTCAAAACTTAAATTATTTATAACTTATATATAATATATAACTTAATAAATTCTAATAATATTTTACCCATGTATAAAAGTATGTGTGCATGTGTTGTGTATCATATCCATATATCATATATTATATAATATACACATAAACATATTATTTTGTAGACTACATTCTTCATCTCAAGTGACGATTGATACAAAAATAAAAAATGAAGCAATTTCGCAACAGTCGCAACAGTCGAATAATGCTGATGGGCAAGAAAATAGTAGTACTCCATCTTGTATTCCATTATTGAGATTAGTTACAAATTCCAATGATTTTAATCCCGATACAGAACCTAGTCTGTCAGATACAACTGAATTTTTGCACAAAGATACCAACGAAAATAATCGGCCAGAAAGTCCAATATTCTCTAAAATGTATCCAAAAACTGGCGCTAAATCTGCAAAGAAATTACGTTTATCTAAAATATTATGCAGTGACTCAACTTCAGATATGAAGACACATCATGGTGAAAAAGTTTCTTCAAAATATAATCACAAATTAGAAATTAGTACAACACGTCATGTGGAAACCACATTTTTACCAGATGGAAAAAGATTAAAGCAATCTCGACTTGCATTTCATCCAGTCAAAAGTAAAGAAAATACGGTATTAGCCTCAAGTGTAGATAAATGTAAGCCAGCTAGTAGACTGTATATTGAACAGAATTTTACTGAAAAAATTTCTACTGAAAATACAAGTATATTCAGTACTGCAAGTACTGAAAAAGATGCTACAAACAACAGTACTGAAATTTCTGAGGATGTGATAGAAGTCAGTCCACAGAGAAATATTACATCTAAAGTCAAGCGACGTTTAAAATTGAAGAGAAAAAATCCTGCAAGATGTATAATAAAAAATTCTCCGAATAAAAATAAATATTTTAATCATAGACCTGGTCTTAGTGTTGTTCCAGAGATAATTAATGTAGATTTATGTCCTTCGCCGAAATATACTTCTACACAAATAGATGATGATAAATCTTTAACGAATACTACAGTTAATACATTGAAAGACAAAGTTAGCACAAATTATCTTTCACCAATAAAAATGGATAATAAAACCAATGTTCAAATTAAAAAATCTATTGAAGCTCAGAAGGAAGATCTATTATTAATACAGAATTTTAATAACATAAAAGACCTTGCCTACGAAGATGAATTTTTTGATCTGCCAATAGCTACAAAGAAAAACGACATGGATAATTTAAAGGATGAAACACGTTCGGAAGATTCAGAAAACAAGCCACCTGAAAAAAAGATGTTATTGAATAAATTTAATGTGTAGGTTAATAATGTGTTAGTTAATAATTGTATTAAAGTTGCTCTTATATGTGTATCTAATGAAAATATTTATAGATTCCCAAAAAGAAAGGCAGATGTTTCAAAACAGCTCAACATGCGATGTAAAGCTGATAGAGAAAAATTAAATGGTTTGGATTGCTGGGAATGCAGAAAAGTAATGCACAATATTAATATGTATAGTTACATAAAATGTATTAGGTGTTGGAATTAATTCGTAGCGTTTTTTAATGAAAGAATGTTATTTATTTCACATGAGCATTAAAAAATACATTAATGAAAGTACTTCCCATCACTTGTAAAACGCTACGAATTAATTCCAACACCTAATATATTATTACAAAAAGCAATACTTTTTCTGTAGAAAAATAATTCATATTATTTGATTTTCAGTATTATCAGAATTTATCACTGTCAAAAGAAGAATTAAAAAAACGATTGAACCAATGCTCACGACATCGACACAATTACGAAAGACCAAATACACCAGAAGGTATAAAATTTTATTTCCTTGCCTTTTTTATTAGATATGATAAAATATAATTTTTTTTAAGGTTTTTGGGATCCAGAGTTTCCTGAGACGTTGTCATGCACTTATCAACAAGAAAATTGAAGTATGTTTTGTCATTTAAATTTAATTCTTAAGATTTTAATATGACTTGAGATAAAAGTTTATTATAATAATGTAGCTTGCACAATCTTTAATTATCTTCTTATTTTAAGTTATTGGTTTTGTTATGATTATTTCTATTCTACATGTGCTACACATGCATATTCGAAGAAAAAGACTATGAGATACTTCAATCTGTCGTTAATGCAATTAGCCAATTCCAACTAATCATTGATGAAAGTTAATCGGAGTTGGTCGAAGTGGCCCTATAAAAGATTAACGATTCCAGAATAGAATTTCGTCTACATATTCATATTTGTACATAATTATATATCCTAAACATTAATAATCGATAAATATAAAAAAATATCATAATTCTATTTCTTAAAATAAAAATCTTAATATAAAAATAAATATTAAATATATAAAATGTTTGCAATTAAATATAATGTACTTGTTAAAATATGAACGAAAGGAAATATGTAAGCATATTCATGGCTTGAACATAGATCGATTTATTATTTTACAACATATATATATAGTATTATATATTGGGTAACATAGTATAGATTTATATAATTATCATTTATATATATAAGTCATCCCTTTACATAAAAATATAGAATTTGTTTTGTGAGTCAGTCGGTGCTAAAGAAGGCTAATCAAACTCAGTTGCGGTGACCAAGCGAAGTTTGACACAGTTTTAAGGTACATTAGTGTTCCTGCTTTTCAAAATCCTCTCTAAAATAATATTTGCATCATGTAACGCTGTTAAACAATTAATTATAGGCTCGCGAAACATTAATTCTTAAACCTATCACTGATTTTATCTAATACCAATTTCGACATAGCTTCCAAAAATATATTTAAATAACAAATTTTGGTATTTTCCGTTTTTATTTCTAAAAATTCATATTTCTCGATAAATAAATAGATGTTACAAATATATATATATATATATATATTTGTAGAAAATAATAAAAGTAAAAAATTTTAATACGTAATTAATCGCCGAACAGTAATAAAATAATATTAGACGTACATACATTTACGTATGTAAATCTCCATCTCTATCATTTAACATCGTATTCATCAAGCTATATAATTTCCCAGCAAAACGATCACACGCATACACAATACTTTAAAACATCAAGTCATATTATCGATTTTTCTATAATAATTCTTGAAAACAAAATGATGATTCACACATGATTGACTAGATCATTTCGTAATACAAATTTACGTGGTTTTTTGTCTTCTTTTCTGCGAGTTGATATAATATGTTTGTGGCTGTCCGATCGATCATTCGCGTACTTAAATATATATCTGATAATTCTATAGTATACAATCTCATATTTGATATATACTTTCACGAATGATCCAATTTGTTTATAAAATAAATATATAGAATATTAATTTTTTATGAAGAAAATAACGGAGTTAATTAGAAAGTGGCTGTTCCGAAAATGTATATAACTTTATTAATGTAAATTCTTATGTTCTGTCACATATACGTATATTTTGGTACCGTGCAATTGACTTAGCTGATTGGTTTACGCTGATTTTAATTATTATTTATTGAATTTGAGATTAAAAAATTCATCTATTTTAAAGCTATTTTAAAGCACATTAATCGAAGGGCACGTAGGAATTAACATAATTCAGTGTACATAAATAATGTACACGCAAGAAAATCTTGTCTTCTTGTATTATTTAAACAAAAAGATAAGAAAAAGCCTATAAACAAGCGAATAAGATGTATATTTAATAATAACTTTTAATATTACAACAAAAAAAAAGATGGGACTTTACTTAGCCATTTTCAGCTATCATAAAGAATTAATTTGTAACGCAAATCT